GAATGGAAAAGTATTTCACTTTCAGAACTACAGCAATTGGTCTCATCAGTTTCCAGTCGCTTACAGAGTGTAGGTAAAAGAAGAGGTGATGCAACACAGTAGTAAACATGCCCCTGTCCCAACTTTTGAAATGTGTTGCTGGCATCAAATTTAAAATGGGCATATTTTTTCCAAAAAATAATAAAACTCCCCAGTTTCAACATTTGATATGTTGTCTCTGTACTGTTCTCGGTTATTCAGTTATAGGGTTTAAATTTGCACATCATTGCATTCTGTTTTTGTTTACATTTTGCAAAGTGTCACACCTTTTTTTGAAACGGGTAATATATGTATAGAAGCAAACAACAAACCGGTATAGAGGCTACATGGCCTGATCACTGTCCATCAATAAAGCATCACTAATTAACAGCAATTCTTACATTGTGATTCTGACAGGAACAATTCATTTCAGTGTTGCTGCTGTTTTTTATAAATTACTTAATGGCTTTGGCCCAAACGACAGTCATGTGCAAAAGTTTGGGTGGAAAAAAAGTGCACAGGTCCTCTACAGCAGGGGTGTCAAACCCCACCATTAAATGAGGTCATTTTTAAAAATCTCAACAAATCTGTGGGTCAGCTGTGTTTTTATTTTCTTTTTACTTAACATTTTGTCATGACCCCAACTGGGCATTGTTTGTTCAAAATATGCCAAAACTACAATGGCAAAAAATAGGCACTAAATACTTCATTTAAAAATATTTTTAAATAAATACAAATTGTTTTATATAAAACAAAAGACTACATTAGCTGCAGATCACTAAACCTCTTTAAATGTCCTCAATGTGCAGTAGGTTTTTTAAAACTGCCCATTCGCTTGAAGTAGACACACCTGCCATCTTTTTTTGTTTTGTTTTGTTTTTTTTGTTTTTTTATGGTGCTGTCCTGTAGATCGTTGTTGTGGAGGGGTGGGAGCGCACATCATGTTGCGTTGCATGCTGGGAACTGTAGTTCAGTTCATGGTAAAATGGGCCAATATTAGTACAAAATAAAAATAATTTTGCAGGCCAAAAAAGGATTGTGCCACGGTCCTGACTTGGCCCATGGGCCTTGTGTTTGACATTTGGGCTTTTCAGTAACACACTTCTGCTTTTAAAATACAGTTACTGTGAATATGTTAAATTCAACATATTAGGGGAGAAAAAAAACAGGAAATATGGTGTGTGCAAACGTTACGGCACAGTTTGTATTTTAGTCTTATATATACCTGTCTGAAATAGACATATGGGTATTTTTAACTGAGTGTTCTGCATAGAACCAAACAAATGTGGAGAAACAAGCATCTGATGTTGCGTCTCATTACCCTAAGTGTAACCTTGTTACATAATGTAGAAAATATTTGTAAAATTACACAATATATAATAGGAAATATTTTGAAAATTATTCAAATGGGGATAGAAAAAATGCTTAGTATAGCTTTTATAAGGGGAAACAATGTTTGTTTGTTTGTTTGTTTGTTTGTTTGTTTGTTTATGTTTAACTTGCCAGATAAATAGTGTGCACTAAAACTGCACTAAAATTTGTAAAAGAAAAATGCCATATTTGAGTCTGTATATTTTTTTACGTAAAAAATCAATGAAACATATAATTTGACCAAAGCTATTCAAACATTTGCTTGTATATGATTTACTAAAAGAGTGTACATATTGTTGGCCTCATGGATCCTCAGCAACTGGTAAACTTGTGGTACCTAGAGTTAGAACTAAACACAAGGAGGCAGCTTTCAGCTTTTATGTTGCCTCACAGCTGGAATCAGCTCCCAGAACACCCTAGATATGCCCTCTCTGTAGAGTCAAGACTCAAATCCCACCGGAGTCTCTTTTATATTTTATAAAATACAGTTTTTCAGTATTCTTAGCATATTTTATGCCTATGTATACATTTACCAGCCACTTCATTAACCTGCCAATTGTATTTTCTACGTTGTATTGACTCCACACATCCCATCCCGTCTCCAGGCTTTTATTTTATTTGTCTGTTTTAAAACATTAGGTTATGAAAAGCCACAAATGTGTACTTTTCACCTGGAAGAACTTATTTAAGGTACACAGTTGGACCTTCAAACCACTGTTGTACTTTTGAGGGAAGATTTACATTGTTTGTACCTTGAAGAATGAAAAATGTACCTACACAGTACCTTTATTTCTAACCTAAAAATAACTCAGCCAGTTTGCATTGTATACTGTGTAGTTACTAAATAAAAAGCCTCAGTATGTACTAAGTCTTAGATTTTAAGGGGTAACAAAAGTACATCTTGTATCTGCACTTATTGTCCATTTTATCAGGTCCACTTACCATACATAGCTTTATAAAGTTCTGCTTTGTCTGATCAACTCGTACCAGCTCAGCACACACTAACGCACCATCAGCATATCAGTGTCACTGCAGTGCTGAGAAACGTCCACCATCCAAATAATACCTGCTCTGTGGTGGTCCGGTGGGGGTCCTGACCATTGAAGAACAGGGTAACAAAGTATGCAGAGAAACAGATGGACTACAGTCTGTAATGGTAGAACTACAGATAGCGCCTATGTGGTAAGTGAAGCTGATAAAATGGACAAAGACTGTGGATACAAGGTGTTTTAATGAAGTGGATGGGCAGTGTATATTTAAAGCACCTTGCATTACCTCACCATAAGAAAGGTGCTATTAAATCTTACCATGGGTAAAACAAAAACAATAAATTGTGTCCTGACATAAACTGCAGCATGAGGATGGTATGCTATAATACAGGAAACAGCAGAGAACTGGTGAAAAATAGGTAAATTAGGAGAGAATTAACACAAAACAGAATCGCAAGACAGGAAACCCCACCCTGTGCTACAGTTACAGCAACGTCAAATCAGAAAAATTTAGGACAGAATGTTAGAATTAAAACGGAAAACAGTGATTTGTAAATTATTTTTGATCTGTATTATATTGAAAACAATACAGCAGCACATTGATGTTTTACCTCATGAATTTTGTTATTTTCTTTTTCTTTTTCAAAATAAATATTTATCTTAATTTTGATTCTTGCAACATATTTCAAAAAATGTTGACACAGTAAAGCATTTACCACTTTGTAATGTTGCCATTCCTTTTCACAAGACTTAAATAACATTTAGGGACTGAAGACACCAAGTGATGAAGCGTTTCAGATGTAATTTTGCCCCATTCTTCCTGCAAACAAGTTTTAAGGTGTGCAACAGTACAGAGTCTTCATTGTTGCATTTTGTTGCATCTTTATTGGGACTGCAGGCAGGTCAGTCCAGCACCCGCACCCTCTTCTTCCACAGCAATGCCTTTTTAATGTGTGCAGAAGGTGGTTTTACGTTGTCTTGTTGAAATATAAATAGGCATCCCCTGAAAAGATGCCTTCACAGAAGTGTAAGTTACCTTTGCCAAGGGCACTGATACAACCCCATACCCTGATAGACCCTGGCTTTTGGACTTGCCGCTAGAATCAGTCTGGATGGTCGTTTTCATCTTTGGTTTGGAGCACACAGTGTCCATTTCTTCCCAAAAATTGCTGTTTCGTCTGACCACAATACACGCGTACGCTGTGTAATTGTCCATCCCAGAAGCATCCAAGCCCAGAGAAGTCAACGGCGCAGTTTACATAAGGCTTCCTTTTGGCACAGTAAAGTTTTAACTGAAAGAAAAGGCCCCTACTTCCCCATCATCTGGCCAGTTCAAGCTATAGCGGTTCACCATTCATTTCAGTAAAACTCAGCTAGTGTATGCACGAGTAGCTGAGCCAGCATTTTCAGTCTCTCGAACAGACACCCCCCTCCAGCTCTTTAACCTCACCTCCTCCTCGTAGGTCAGAAGGCTAATGTTACTGCTCCCAGCGTTTCCCTCAACTTTCCAGTGTCCTGGGCACCACACCATGAGGTCAGCACTGGTAGCTATGAGTAAAAGATGATGGAGAGACAGCGGCCGTTGTGCTCCTGCCAGCAACAAACAGTGGAGCCATTCATGACATCATACCAAATAGAGTCTGCCAGATCACTGAGCACGGAATGCTGTGATTTAGGCTTGGCTGAGGAACGTGCACTACAGGAGCACGTGAAAGTGTTGAATGAAGGAAGTTGGGCTTATCTGCAAGTAAATGATTTCCACAGAAAGAAATGTTGCACACCCTACTTAATAAATCTTAAGTGCTTGCTGGTTGCAGTGAGCTGTTGAAAATCAGGGCCACAAACAAAGTGTCAGGTGGCCGATAGTAATAGCTGTTAATGAGGCTCCATGGACTTATCACTGTCAGCCAGTAATGCACCAGTAATTCAGGGCCAGGTTCTTGTTTAGAATCTCCCTCTTCAGGTTCATACATGTAAGGCCGTGTCGATGCAATCCGACTTCTATCCTGGGCCATGCAGACTTAACTGGGCGGGTACATTTGCGCAGAGGCTGCCAATCAATCCGCTGAGGTTCACACTACACAGCAGAAAGGTGAAAGGCGTCAGCTAAAAAGATACAAAACACTCCTTTAAATGTCATTTTTCGGTATATGGGTATAATATATTAAATTATTTGCGGAAATATTTTTCAGAGATTTTAAAAAGCAACTGTTCAGGAACTTTAAAACATGCTTAACTCAGCAAATGAATAGAAATTGAGCACTTGTAATGAAAGTGATGAAAGAAGGAAGTTGTGCTTATCTTCCTGTAAATGATTTCCACAGAAATAACTGTTGCACACCCTCCTTAATAATTAAAAATTGACGTGTGCGCAAACATTTCGGCACAGAGGGAGACTCAGAGGGAGACTCATTAGTCCTTGTCTGACCATTTGAACTCCTGGCTGTCCTCACAATTCTCAGACAAAATGATGGATAGAGGTCTCAGATAGTTAGAAAGGGAGGAAAACGGACACTTGTCTGAATGACAGGCCAGTAAAAGTCACTCATAGTTCATCTGCATTGCTGTTTATTCAGTGAGCTGAAAAAATACAACCTTTTTTTCATTCTTGTCTTTGTTTAGATGAGCCAAAGAAATACCAGGTGGTGATCCACGGGATCGAGCCACTGTTGGAGACCCCTATCCAGTGGCTGAGTGAACACCTGAGTCACCCGGATAACTTCCTCCACATCTGCATCGTCCCAGCACCAAACGACTGAGCCGTGAGCTGTGGTGTGAAACCAGGAGCTGGTGGACAATCATCAAACAGCTCAAACGTGGCTCCACCTTTCCGCCTTGTTCCCTGAGGGAATTTTCTGGAAGAACTTTTTCCACACTTTTTCACACTTTCTGCATTCACATTCGTTTGTCGGCCTCACCTTGTCTCTGAGCGTTGGAACCTCTTGGACACAAAGCTCTTCCAAATCGTCGGATTGAAAGGATACCACTTGACCAATTTTAATATGCATGCCAGTAGGATGTAAATAACAAACCGTTTCAATACCCACATCATATCTGAGTATGTTATGTGACAGAGTAGCCTAGTAACAGTAACCTGCACTCAACTGCTTGGAAAGGTTTCATGACTATATCCGTTTGAGATTAATTTGAAGGGAATAGTTTATCAGGATTTTTAACCTGGATTTACATACTTTATACTTACTAATGTAACTTGAGTTAACGGTAACTATTGGAGTATAATTAATGAAAGTTGCACCAGCTGTTGAGATATTTACATCCCTGGTATGGATCTCTCTCTCTCTCTTCCCTCTGCTAACATTCAACACAAGATTTTTACATGTTGCCTTAGATTTCATACTCCTGCCTCCGCACTGGCTTGATGCAACCATGTGCCGTTGCAGTATTACTGTAGAGCCTCATATATCTTTCATCCTGTCTCTCTCTCAACTCTCTCATCATGACTAACATGCTGCCGATGCTCTTAGATCTTCTCTCGGCGCTCCGTTAATTATCAGTTTGAATCCTGTTTGTCGTTAAATGAGACCACTAAACTGCTGTACTCTGCCAAGCATCCTGGGGGGGTAATTACCGACACGGTTTATAGGCACATACAGGGGGTAGAAGGAGGTGTGAAAAGTACGAATGGAATTATGTCTTGTCTGTAGTGGCCACTGTCATGCCAGGAAAGCAGAGTAGAGCTTTGGACTCTAAGCGGCAAGATGACATCACACACAGAGGTCCATGAGTATGTGACTGCAGCCTACATGGGAAGAGTCAGCAGAGGCCCCTTGAGAAAGCTTGTGGGCTCTGTCTGGTAAGAAGAAGCGTCATCCAGGATGGCTGTTCCCTTCAGAGTTCAGATCGGCCAGAAATCTACACAAATTCCTCTTAATCACAAGTGTAGTCAATTATCCAAGACACTGCATCGTGTAATATAATTAAACATCAATTTGCTTTGTGCTTTTGTTCATTTTTATAAATAAACTGCAAAAATCATATCTTGGTGAGTGGAATCATCTTAAATCTAGTCAATATGATATCTTATTTTGAGGTGGTTATAATAAGAATATAATAAGATTGTTTAACTTATTTGTAAACCTTTTTACTTGAAAGTTCATTTGTCTTATTCTGTTAGCAAATCGTTTGGCTTGTTTCAAGCATATGTCTTGAAATAAGCTCAGTTATCCACATTGTTTTGAAGCAAGCACATTATTTGCCAATAGATTAAGATAAAAGGACTTAAAAAAAGTAAGAAGCATCTAAAAAAAGTTGAATAATTTGATCATATCTTGTAACAATCTCATAATGAGAAATATTAGATATATTGTCTAGATTTAACATGTTTTCACTTGTAAAGAGGTCATTTGCAGTGGAACAATATGCAGTGTTAGAAACAACATAAGCAAGTCTGTTTGACATAAGACTTTGGACACTAAATAAGTCTTGGCTGATCAGCATTTGTGGTAAAAGGAGAAAAAAAACAAAAAACAAATAACCCCGAGTCTGATTGTTCTAATAAGTAACGTAAATGTAAAATCATAATGTGGTGATTCTTACCATTGTCTTATTTTGTTGTTTGTTTGTTTTGTTTGTTTCTTTATTTTTTTTTTCATTTAAGACGAGCATCAGGGTGGATATGGAACACCTCTGGCCTTGGAATTGCTTAACCTTTGCTCAATTTGCTGCGGTTAGCTTGCGGCACATCTGTCCATCATAAGAGAAGTGCAGTGTAATCTTCAGAATGGAGATGGGTGAGTCAGAGGTCAGCCTGCCTGGGGCAGTCATACTGAAATTTTAGCTGATACAAGACAATATCTCCTCTGCCCTGGTTATACAGCCTCTAGCAGCCTCACTGTGCTTGTAACTATTTAGGCTGAGCGACATTTGTTTGTGTTTAGTTAGTTCGGAAGGGATGGAGGAGGTTGGAGATGGGGGGGGCAGACGATTAGCAGCTGAGAGTGATTATTCGCTTATAGGAATGAGTGAGTGTACTCGCCCAGACGCAGACAGACCGCACAGCTTCCGCCGTCACCGGGCCACTTCTCAGCAAAACTGCCTGTAAGACCTTGCAGTTCGTTTAGGAGGCGCATCTTGAGTTTGTTTACTGAGTGGGGTTTTTCTGTCTTTAAAACATGGGCTCCAGACTCCCTCTATGATTCGAATTGATGTACGGAAATAACAATGTTAAAGTGCATTCTTGCAGTATTTAACACTTTCCAAACGGTTTCAATCAAGACGCTTTATCTTTCTTCTCTTCTGGACACACTTTTCATGGCTCGCTTTTCTGTCTTTTGCTACATTTAACTTACAAAATGCATAACATCTGATTAAAATATTTTGTAACTATGCAACGTTGCCTTTGATTCTTCAGATGTAATGTGTGGCGGTCGGGTTGATGCGATAGATTAGCTTACTTTAAAGAGGCCATATTTGGAAAAACTATTTTTTTCTTGCTTATTTGGAATAAAGGTTTGATGTACTACCGAAACATTGTTAAAGTTTCAAAACATGTCATTCACTCTTCATGCAGCTCCTTTATGGAAACTAAGCAAAATAACCCTCTTTTTGACTCGACACATTTTCATATGACTGCACTTTTTGTCTACAGCTATTTAGTCTGCCTAGTCATGTTGGAGTGATGAGGACTGTTCTGTAAAGACAGTCTGTAGCAAAGTTTTTGTAGATTGTGTTGTGTAGAAGTTATGGGGGAAAAAATTATTAAATGCTGTGCTGCATCTGCTGATGATGGAGCCTCCATCCAGCTCCTTCCAGCTGGTAGCAGTGAACGCTGATAAAAACAGTATAATCGACGACAGGGAAAAACGTGGAAAAATTAGATTTCTGACTCCATGTTCATCCTCGTGCTTGTGTTCTGAGGGCAAACATGAGTGCAGTTTGCTCTTCCAGCCACAGGAGGGGAAAGAAAGAGCATGTGCTGGGTGGGGAGGGGGGTGCTCTTCTCTGCGGTGGAGTGGACATCAAAGCCAACCCAGGCACTCTTCATGAGTTCATTAAGTAAAGCCGTCCTGGCCCTGCTCTCTCATTCCTGTAAAGCCGTCACTAAAAAGATCAGAGGGTCCTGTCTCCTCCTCCTCTTCCTCTCCTTCCTCTCGTCCGTGTTCTGTCCATTGGTGTCTGGTCGCCAGCGCCTTCCTCGACCCATTTCTTGTTATTCCTATGTGAGCGGGAAATACTTTGACTTATGACTTTTTTTTTCCCCCAACCCCGGAAGCTTTCTTTGAAGTCTATGTAATGATGAAGTGGGCAGAGTCTTGGGTCGCTTTCCCTCTTCACCTTGTTGGAGACCTTTTCCCTTGTCCCCATGGTCTGTCCGGTCTTCCGAATGTGCTGTATTTGGGGGTGTAACAGTAAAACGGAGATGGCTTGAAGCCCATAACCCAGCCGTGGCCTGTTAAGTTATATGAGGTGTTGGGAGACAACTTTCCCCTCCGTCCTCTCCCCCCAGAGAGTAGAGGAGTACACCTGGATCGGAGCAGTGGGTGGGGGTGGACAACTTTGGAGGAACAAACAACAAAACTCTCCCTTCTCCTTCTCTTTCCAGAGGTGCCCTCTCATTTTCAACAGCCCCCCTCCCTCCTTCCAGCCTCCCACTGGGGTAGAGCTAACCTGTCATTAACCCAGGCCCTTAATTGGCAGGTGCTGAGGGGCTCTGAGACGCTGTGATCAGTCAGAGGACAGGACAGGCCCGTGATCATGCCCTCTTCATTCACGTCCTTGCAATTTGCCACTCTCTTTGTTTAGGCCCCCCTAATTCCCCTGCCCCGGAGTTGTCTTCCGTCTCATTCCTTTGGTTAAATGCGACAAAAGGTATCGTTCTTCTCACGGGTGGAAGAAATGTGACAGTTGGACAAAATAAACACTGCAGTCATAGCATTGTAGAGAAGGAAAGAGTGTGTATACTTGTGTGCATGTTTGAGGCAGGCTGGATATGTGGTTTGTGGCTCCTGGCTGGCTGTGAAGAAAGGAAGACTGCAATTTGTTGTACAAAGAAATAATCTTAACTCCTGGCGTATGAGGAAATGTCATAATCTAGGCATACAGGAATGTTCCAGTCAGAAAAAAAACAACTGGGAGATCTTTCTTGAATGGTAAAGTGAAGAGTCAGTATTGAGCTCAATTTGAAACCACTGTATGTTTTGACAAGTGCTGTGCTGTTGCAGTTTTTTATAGTATGGTATACTATTTTATAGTATGTTTCTCCATGCTGTTTTAAGGCAATATGTGTCCTAACTCAAATGTATCCTAATGTTGCAAAACTGTGAGACCTTTTAAATTCTACTGCAGGTTCCAGTTCGGCCTCAGTTTCAGACCCTCGGGCGTTACACCACTAAACTCGCCAGTGGTGTGGCGGGTAACTTATTTACAGTAAATGACACCTCGGTCTCATTTGATCTTATTTGCCATGTTGCTTTATTTAGAAAGAATTGAACGTTTTATATGAAAGAGCAGATGTTTCTTGTCAAGCCTGGTGGTTTCACTGAGTCACTGGTGCTGGTGGTGGTGGGACCCCGCAGGAAGTGAGGAAAGCCAATTATCATTCATAATTCTAAAGCTCACATGTGGCCCGTAAATTTACATGGAATGTGGATCGGAAGTCCTAATCACGCTCTCTGATCTGCTGTAGTCATCATTCCCTGGAAGGCGGAGGCAAGGCGGAGAACGTGTATGGGCCACAGCAGAGTAAGGAGCATGTTTTGTCAAATGTGTTGTCATGGCACATTGAACATCAAGGCAGCCACTAGTTCAGTCTTTTTCTCTTTGAGAAACTGTATGCGCACTGTGTTTGGATTGAACCACATCCTTGAACCATACCCTTCTATCAGCTCATAACAGTAAAGGCGAGTCTCAGATGGCTTCCCTAAAGACTAGGCCTTTGTTGGGGACCAGTGTCCTGGAATCTCCCGCTCAGCCTCCGCTCCGGGTGTCCGGGCCTGGTCCCCATCTGTTTCTTTTTTAGTGCGTAAGGCTATGCTTCAGGCCTGATGGGACACATGGGCAGTATGTTACACAAAAGCCCCATGGGTCTTCTTGAGTCACTGTCGACTGTGTCTTTCAACTGTTTAAAAATTCTTTGGTGGAATGTCTGTTTACTGTAAGTGCCATTTGCAGTGGCTGTTCTCTGGAAACTTCTCCGGCGGGCGTAAAAGACGAGCATTCTTTCAGAAAAAAAGTTTGTCTGTATAAGCATTGGGTTGGGGTGGCGGGTGGTCTGTAGAAAGGGCGTCATCTTATGTGTTTTAAAAACCTAGGCATAAATGGTAAAGTTAAAATTTAGCTGTATAGGATTAAATACTCTAACTTTCATTAAATATTTAAAAATTATGCCTGAGAAAAGAATAAAATGTAATGTGTGAGTGGGAGTGTACCATATACACTCAAACCCCCACGGAATTTTATCAGCATTACATAAATAGTTCTCATCTGTCTTACATGTAGTCAAAAGAGAATCTATCAATAAATTGGTTGTTCTTTTTATATAAGCAAAAATTGCTTTTCTCAACCAGTTGTTAACTTTCAGCAGCTCAAAGTAGGATTGTTGATCTAGGATCAGTTATCAACGTTGACCTCAGATCAGCACAACTGAGACACCCCAGGTTCAGCCAGTCTGTTAGCCCCCACTCTTTTTATTTTCGGCCGTGATCGTGAGGGCAGTGGAACCTTCTTTGCTAATATCTGAATGTTCTGTTTCCCTAGTAGTAATAATAAGATGCTGGAAAGAAAGCAGGGCGCCAGTTCAAACGCAAAATGAAAATGCTGAGTCAGAAAATGAATTCCATGATCCGTTCAGTCATTTCATTGATTTCGTATCAAATAGGTCTAAGAAATGACTAGAGCTTTACTGGGCCTGGAGTTTTGAGCCTGATCCTGCACTAAAATGATCCTGTGTTGAATTGATTGATTAACATATTGTTCATTAATTTTCTCACACAAGTTTTCCTCGTGAACCTCAGTGCATAATTCACACAAGTGGCTGACTCCAGTATGCCATTAAAATGTTTAAAGATATCGAAGGTGTTGTCGGGTTTGGACTAATATTACAAACTCTGTAAATCATCTGGGAGAATAATATGATTTTTCTTCAAGTCCTGTAACTGCGTGAAAATATAGATAAGACAAGAAAAAAAAAAACACAGACAAAGTCTCATTAGGTCAGTAAACATTTATATCATAATTTACATTTTAACAAGTTGTACTTAAATAACTATGTAAACCAGTATGTAAACATAGAGACAGATGAGTTTCTTTTTGTTTTGTCTTTTTTATGTTTAGTTTAAAGCTGAAGATGTGGGGAAGACTTTGGTCATAGGTCAGGAGAGAGAAATGAAGAGATGCTACTGCTTTACGGCACATACTGTTGCCTTAAGGTAAGAGAGTCTCAATGGCTGGACTTGACAAAACCACGTCTAAAAGAAGTTATGGACAAAAAATGAAAAAGAACCAGTGCATATAAAGACCAAGGCGCTTTGGTTTGTGCCATCCATGAGCGCAAAAGGGGCAAACAACAAAAATGTACAGAACAGACAACAGCTAAAGAGCAACAAACACTACATAGACACGCATTGCTCTTTAAATGATTGAACTTTGGTAACTAGCTCCGCATTCCTTTTCATTCCCATCCCTCCCCCCCTTTTGGTATCAGTATTGCTCTGAAAAAATTAGTGAGTGAATAGAGAAGTACTCTCAGCTTCATAGCCAGTGTGCTACATGCGAGCAGACTCCTGTTTATTTGGACCATATGGAGAGCTGCACTCCAGGACATTTGGTTTCTTCTTCAAGTAGAAAAGCAATAAATATCATATATGCCTCTGACTTCCTTCAGAACACACACAGACTATATACACACACACTCATAATTTGAGGTAACTTGTTGAAAATATATAAAATGCCCTTTTTCTGGTACACTAAGGAGTGCTCTACAGAGATTATGGAAAGGCCTGCGGGTGGTTCATCTGAAAGCAATTTTTTCCCCTAACATTTGAAACAATTTCAAAATTTAAAATTCCACCATAGCCTTCCACAAAAAGAGCTACCTTTTTGTTTTTTAAATACCAGCCTGCATTTAAGAATTAAAACCCTGAATTAAGGTGAGCTCCTCGTTTCTGTTAGACATCATCATAATCAGAAGCCAAACACATAACTAATGCAGGCTGCAAGAAACTATATACAAAAGAATGGCAAAAAAAAGAAAAAAATATACATAACATCCAATTACAATTAATTACCCAGTCATTGTAAACATAATTGTTTTTGAAGGATAACAAATTGGACAATAAATTAAGGAGGTTTCATACTAAACTGAACCAAATATTATTAAAGTATAACAATAACAAACATCGACATCAATAATATTACTAGGAAATTAAGAGTAGATGATTGTCCCTAAAGTAAGTGTAGGACACATTGGACCGCTAGCAGCCTGCAACAGTGACTCTTAGCCCTGAGTACAGTAAGTCCCTGAAGACAAAG